TTTAAACTGGTCAAATTAAATATCTCCTTGGCCATCAAAAAGAAACTGATGAAATTGAAGAACCTGAGATGGATGGTGTAAGAACCGCCGTCTCCGATCACCATGGAAGTTCCATAATGGTTACAAGCACAAGCAAAATCCTCACAGATTTACTATTCTCTATCTTGTTTTTGATCTTCTCGGCTCGTTTAACCGGCTCGACGGTTCTTCCAGCCGGTAATTGATATCTCCCTGTCCTCTGGTTGTTGATTCGGAATAAGACTCACCTTCACATGCCGACATATCAACGAATAGAGCGCAAACGCTCCGCCTATAAAAGAAAAAGAAAATTCAAAAAGAAAATCGGAATATGGAATATCAGAGAGAGACATATTAGAGACCCGGTCGAGAAATCTTACCGTTTCCATTGTCGTTGGCCCATAAGACGATAAAAACATACTTGAGCATTGGTATGAGGACGAGAGTGTAGATGATGAGAGACAAGACGCCGAGAATGTCGTCGATGTTTTTGATACCGTCGGTGAAAGTACTGGCGTACACGTAAAGCGGAGACGTACCGATATCGCCATAGACAATCCCTAAGCTTTGAAATGCTAAACTCAGAGTGACTCTCCAAGTCAACTGTAAACAGAAAGGTGAAATAATTAAGATTCGATCAAGCTTAGAGATGACTGAAATTGAAATTAAGACGAAGAGGTTGATTGATGAGTTTCAGTACCTTAGAGGAGGTGGCTTTGGGAGTCGGAAACTCTTCGGCTTCCAAATTGAGAGAGTCTACACGACGGAGCTTTGCCACGATGCCTTTCGCTCTTTGAGATTGTTATTTTCTTCCTTCAATGTGTTTCCATCTCTCTCTCTCTGCGCCTCGGATCTGCTTCTCGGCTCACTCACTACACATGCTTATATATATCTTTTTAATATAGGGGAAATGACAATTGGAGACGTACGAAAAAGATATTAATAACCATTAACTATTTCAGATCTTCCATAATTGAAATCCTATTAAGCGTCATGGTTCTTGCTTACAATTAAAAACAAAGGGAGAATATCAGTAAAAGACACTGTAAATAATTTAATTTCATAAAAAAGCTTCAAACAAGTAAACACTACAAATTAATTAGTGAAGTTTTTTGTTTTGACAAGTTTTTATTTGTTCAAGTCCTCATTAACTATTTTTAGAATTCAAATCTTCCATATTTGAAACATGATTTGTTTTTCTCAAATGTGACTTATTGTTAGTTTTTATATGTGAACAATTTTCTTGAGTAGTCCTTGTGATTTTCCTTTAAGGTCTTTCATTGATATTCTTCCTTTAATAAATTATCTTTATGAGCCAAGCACAGGTCTAGAAACTAATTGATGAGGGGCCAAATTGAAAATGAAACATGGAATGAGTGGACCAAAGTCTATTTTATATAAATCTTTACAAGCAAAACTTCTAATTTTACCAAAGGAATATTTAAATTTATTGGGGGCACTAAGCCTCTCCTCACCCCCTGGATCTGTCCTCTGTTATGACTCATGAGCAAATAGTGATCCAAGTCTTAGTTTTTTTATGCGCAAAAATTCTTCTCCTGATTACTTCAAAGTTACTCCATTCACCTTCAATACTTAACCAAACGGAAACAGCAGTGCAAGTAAAGTAATAAAAACAAGAATAAATATTAAAAGGAGCAACGACGTTCGAACGGAGCACACGATAGAAGCATTAATTTACACATCTAATTTAATTTATTTTTAAATGATATTTTAGACTATATGTTTTATTTTTAATTGCAAGAAAGACCTTGGTCCTTGAATGAGATTCCAGTTATTTATGATCTATAATTATCATAATATTTTTACAGGGTCTGTAATTGTAATTTCCCTTTAATATATGGTTTCATTATACAACTTTGCTTCTCTTGTTCATATTATAGGCTAAAAACCAATAAACAAAGTCAGACCTTGCACACAATAATTGTATTATTATTTATACCTTAAACGCCGTGTCCTATGGTCAATTTTTAACGCATCGAATAACAAATTTAGAATTTGGCCAAAAAGAATTAATAACAAATTAAGAAGCTCGATTATTGCAGGGCCTTTTGTTTATTTCTGCCCGCAACCATCGCTGAAGATGGAATTTCTAATGCAACTCGTCACACCTCATCACTACGATGACATTTATTACATATTATTTTATTTCAACGTCTCATCAGTTATACTCTTTTTTAAATAAAAGCACTACTAAATGCAGATGAATTTGGAACCTATTGGTTTGAAAAATCTCTTCGTTTATTTAATTCCAATTTATAATTATTTGATTGACATGAGTTGTTTGTATAAGCGATTGCCTCCATTTGAATAGGATTTATGAGTGGGTGGGAGTGAATCGAATTTTATATTTATATAATGATAATTTAAACGTGTGAAATATTTAAAATAAGAAAATATTTTTGTTTTCAATAGTTAAAAATGATTTGTATAATTTAAACTATTTTTAGTAACAAGATTAGGAAAAACAAATTAGTATTCCTTGAAAAAAAATTAAAAGAAGGCCACACAAGGAAATGAAATTTGAAAAAGTTGGATTATGAGTCATAGTCTTTATATGTGTGTGTATATAATTTATGAGTAGTGTGAGTTAACTGAATTTTTCATATTTTATATATAATGACATTTGAACATGAGAAGATTAAAATATGATTTATAAAAAAGACTAGATACTATATATATATATATCTATATTTATATAATAATAAATCAAATAGTTTATATTATTTAAATAATTTTAAATAGATGAGTCAACAGTAATATACTACATTCAAGAAAAAGTTTTTGAAAAGATGGCCACATGGACAGAAGAAAATACAATTTGAAAACGTTAGATTATCAGTCATACTCTTCATTTGATACATACATACATATATATTTTAGAGTCGTGTGAGTGAAGAGAATATTTTATTATTTCTATATAATGATCATTTAAACATGAGAAGATTAAAATCTGATTGATATATAAAAAATAAAAATAAATATGTTTTTAATAACAAATCAAATAATCTATAAAATTTAAACTATCTTTGGAAAGATTAGGAAAATCAAATTACTATTCCTTGAAAAAAGTTGAAGGATGACCACACAAGGAAATACAATTTGAAAACGTTAGACTGTTAGTCACACTCTTTATTTATATGTCTATATATATAATGATAATTTAAACATGAGAAGATTAAAATTTGAATTGCAAAAAGAAAATATATATGTTTTTAATAATAAATCAAATAATTTATATAATTTAAAACTTTTTTGGTAAGATTAGGAAAAAGCAGATTACTTTCCTTGAAAAAGGTTAAAGGATACCGCACAAGGAAATACAATGTGAAAACGTTAGATTATCAGTCATACTGTTTATTATATGTGTGTGTGTAATTTATGAGTAGTGTGAGTACAAAAAAAGGGATATAAAATGGTTATTTTTTTTACTATTTAATAGTTATGAACTATTAAGTAATTTGACGCTGAATATTCTAGAATTCTTTATTTTTAACCGTTAAATTTTTGCATTTTGGAAATGAGAAATTATGAAAGATAATATTCAATGATTTTGGATTAAAAACTATTGAATAGTTTGTTATTATCCAACAGTTATTCACTTATAACTGTTAATATATATAATTATTCAGCGATTTTGTAACACAACCGCTGAATAGTTTATATTATATTATTAGTCATCATATTCAATGGTTTTCTCATAACCGTTGAATGTTATGACCTAATTTTTTGTAATGGGCAAACTATATTTCTAGCAATCCCCCTGCATTTAAATTATAAAATGATATTCCAGCACTCAAACACAAATTTCTAGCTAATAATAGTCACATATATACATAAATGGACAATGAATTTTTATAAAAAACTTATATACAAACTTGAAGTGCTTAAATTAAACCAATTAGTGGCTAAAACATAAAGCCCTAAATCTCAAAATTTTCTTAAGTTTCCTAACTACCTCTACTGCTGGCTATTAAAACTAAACCATGCTTTAAAAATACTATGTGCTAACTCTTCAGGACTTCTTTCATTTGAGCATGAGTATATGTGTCACAGTATGCGTCCTCGTAGTACTATATGCAACAATAACAAATTAAAATCATGTTTATTGATAAAAACAAATATAATATTAATGAATAAGAAAACAATATATATTACACTATTAGGAAGAATTTCGTCAGGTGAGGCATGTTGGATTATGTCCTTCATGAATTTCATGATAGCGTACCAACAATCCCTAACTTTGTCTGCTTGCTCTGGCCACTACTATCATACAATAGATAAAAAAACCAAATAGTTAATTAATAATATGACATGACCTATACAGTGACGTTGCTAACGTAATTAATGATAAATACATATACCTTGACAACTGTCCATGATGCTACTGTATCAAACTGACCATTGCCCTTACTAGTTGTCAAAATTATTGATAAACATTAATGCATTATATGACAATAGCCCTAACATGAAATAGAAAACTTGACATGAGAAATATTCATACAAAAAGAACAAATTACATACATATACACAAAAAAATTAATCAACTTACTGGTTATTATTTCCACAATATGCAATCTGTTAGAGGGATGACCACTACGAAGAGGATCAAGGTATCACACCTTCTCTAAAGTTAGATTGATCACAAAACTAATCGTTTCTTCCACCCGCTTTGTAAAGGGCGTCCTAAATTAGGACTTAATCATCATACTAACCATGGTTAATCAAGGACTAACCCAAATGGATTATCCAATACGAGATTAACCCAAATGAATTTATAATATGTATTTATTTTTTTTAAACTATTTAATATAAAGGGATCCCAAGTCTTTAAAATATTTTAAGAACTATCATTTAATTAAACATATGCGGAAGCATGATAATAACTATTTTTACTTGCACAAATATTTTAGCCCATAATTATAGCACAAGCATCAAACCCAATCCTCAGGGCCCCAAAATACATTTCCCCTAACATAAAAGCCATAATGCAAGTGGATCAAGAATATATTATCCTAGTTGACAATATCATAAACTAAATACACATATCAAATAAAAGGAGAGATGCCTACAGAAGTGATTATTATCACTTGGCCTAATGCTCCTTTCCTCTATTCTTCTCAGATGAGCTAGCTCTTGTAATATGTTAAAAGAGAGGGATGAGTACAACCACTTAGTAACCAAGGTACATCTAAGTTATACAAATGCATGATAATTAATCATGAATGCAAGTGACTAATAAATTAATTAAGGTGACCATTCAAACAATCACATTAATAACACGTTAATCACATTAACATTTAACTCATGTGAATAATTTCAAGAATAAAATCAAGTATAAAATTTGCACAAATAACCACATTTAAATTATTCGCATAATTACTACATGTTCTCATTTCTACAATTATAATCATATTCTCAATATAGCCATCAATCACTCAAATGGCATGACAATAATAATATGCATGATCGATCTCTTCCTTATATCCCCCCTTATTCCTCTGACATGAAATCTATGGGCCAACAACCGAAAGGGATCGTCCATGTGGTGAGGACTACCCAAGGCCTTAATCATATCATGAGGGGCTACCGGGCCAGGGTTACCTACTTACTTATGAACCGGTTTCTCCCGAATCACACACTATAGGGTGTCATACCCAAAACTAGCTCTATCCAAAACTTCAAGTAGGCCAGTAAGGTCAAGTCCCTTAATAGGAACAATGCTACAGTACCTTACAATGTAAGTAGCGGCTATAACCCCAAGGATTATTGGTTAATAGCCAAGTATTATATGAATTTTGTGTAATCACTAACTCTTTCACTAAGGTAAACTTCTGCCATATGATCATGCTCATGAGAAAAGGTATTTCAAAAACTCATATATATATATATTTCAAAATTATCCCACATGCTCATCAACTTTCATCACTGTACATAATCCACAACTTATAACCAAGAGTGTACACATAATCATCAACCATCAATCTCATCATTCACAAGTTATAAAGTCTCAACAAAGTCACATGCATTACAAACAACTATTTCAAATTTAGATATATATATATATATATATTCTTTTATTTCACTAACATAATTAATTAATTAACATACAAATGTATAAAATAGATTTTTCCCGATTACCTCAACCTTTGAGAGGTCAAAATTACCCCTTAAGTTACGATACTTTCAAAACTTTTCAAAGTTTGAATGGTGTCAAAAGAAAATTAATCTACAATTGATCATATCCCAATATGTCAATAATATTATTAACATAATTTTCATTCATACTCTAACACCTAAGTATTTATTTTATTTTATTTTATATTTATTTATATATATATATATATATATATTTAAGAATTTAGTCTTAGTCTCTTGAATTCTAAAAATTTAATTTCATGTATTTGAACCTATCTACTTAGTTCAATAATCTCATTCACAATAATTTTATTCAAATAATTTTCTAATATCAAAATTTTTCTTTTTATTCTGAAAATTCGCACATAAAAATATCCAAAAATTGCAAACTTAATTTCAAGCCTAGAATCATTATTCTATAGCCATAATAATTTATTTCTTATCTCAAATAATCATCTAAATATCAACAAATTAATTTATATTTTCAGATTTAACCAAAAATCTACCTATAGGGATCTAGGGATAAACTCAAATGCCTCAAATTCCAATTCTATTAATAAAATAATACTCTAGAATATTTATTACACTACCAACAACCTCAACAACCAGATTTTCTCATCAAAAATTCATCCCTCTTTCAAACCCTAGGTTTTCTAAAATTTCAGAATCTGCAGCTTAAAGGGAAAAACGACTAAAAAAAATATTTAGAACACTTACCTAGTCTTAGAATACTTAAAATCTCATCTGAAGTATCCTATTATGAAGCTTCACCTTCTAAATCAGTCAGCCTCTCCATCGTGCGGCATCGCTCTCACTCTCTTTGTGTGGATGCATAAACGAAAAGGAAGAGGAGAATAAAAAGCCAAAAGTCTTTGGGTTGTTTTATTTTAAAATGGTGTAGGTCCCACATAATAATTCACACTCTTACTTTCTCTTCTTTGTTTTCTTCAATGCACATACGTGAACGTCCGCCTCCCTTTTCTCATTTTTTTAATTTATTTAATACTCCTTCTTTCTTTTCTTATTTATCTATTATCTTTTTTTTATACCTTACACGCACATGTGGAGAAGGAAACAAAAGAAAGTGAGTGAGAAAAACGGTTTGTCTCTTTCTCCTTTTTTTTTATCAGATCAAACACACACACTCACAATAAACCGTCCCCATCCCCCCTTTATTTTATTTTTTATTTTACATATCAATTTTCTCTTTTAATAATAATAATAATAATAATAATAATAATAATAATTCTATTTTTTAAAAAATCATAACTTAAAATTTAGATTTATACTAAATTAAATCTAATAATAATCTCCTTACTAATTTGCTTACCTCTAATTTTTTTTTAAAATTTCTATTAATCCAAATTAACTATTAAAATTTAAATTGGTATGTTACACGCTTGTTTCAACATGCTTCACAAACGGTTTGCCAAATTCAATATCAAGGTCTTTTTCTTTTTGAAACAATTCTTCACTAGTCAATTGCTTTGGTGGCCTCTGTTCTTCTGTTTTTCAATCAAAAGACTTTTTTCATTGACGATATCGATATTTGTCACCACCCATCTATGATACTTAAGGTATGCATTTTTCATACCATGTTGCAATCTCATTGAACATGTTCTTTCTTCATAAATAGGACATCTAAGTTGTCCTTTAATGCTATAGCTTGATAGATTACTATACGTCAGAAAGTTGTTGATTGTGCCAAAAAGCATGGCTCTTAAATTAAATATTTCTTTTCTGTAGGCATCATATACCTCCACACTTGTCTCCCACCACAGCCTCAAGTCTTCAATCAATGGTTTTAAGTAAACATCGATATCATTCTCGGGTTGCTTGGGCCCTGATATTAGCAAGGATAACATCATATACTTTCGCTTCATGCAAAGCCACGGAAGAAGGTTATAAATGACCATCATCATAGGGCATGTACTATAAGTACTACTTTGCATCCTATGTCGGTTCATCCCATCAGTAGATAATGCAAGGCATGAGTTCTATCTTCTTTTCCAAACTCAGAGTACTTTTGATAAAACCTTATCTATCTAGGAGAATAAGATGGATACTAAATCTTATCATCTTTAATCCTTCCATTTGCATGCCATGTTAAATTCTTTGCCTCTTGATGTATGCTATACAAACGCCTAAATCTTGGAATAATAGAAAAAATACCACATTGCCTTCTCTAGACTCTTCCCATTTTGCTTATAACGTGATGTTTCACACTTAGGACAGTGGGTTAGCTCTTCATGTTCATTTCTAAACAAAATGCAATCGTTAAGGCAAGCACGTGTCTTTTTATAGCTCAGGCCAACTATGCATAACACCTTTGCATTATATAGCCAACCCGGAAGCTTGTTATTCTTTGATAGCATTAGTTTGATTAGAGAGAGCAAGCTTGAAAAACTTGTATCACTCCACTACTTGTTGCTTTCAAATTATATAATTCTAACACAGTGGACAATAGAGTGATCTCATTACAACCCTCGTACAAAGGTGTCTCCGCATCAGTTTTCAACCTTTCTAACTTCTCTAAAAAATTCTCAAGTTGCTCTTCCATCACATCAACCAATTCTTCAAGATAGTTAGCCTCATATGCATTTGTGTCAAAAGACGGTGATGATGAACAACTTTTTATATACCCTTAGCTACTATTATTCACATCTTCAGGTGTCTCCCAATGCTTTATCCAATACTTATAACTCTGATCAATTCCATACTTAAACAAGTAAAGTTTACATGTTTCAGGAGAAATTAACTTCATATTGCCACAACTTAAATAAGGACAAACAATTCGCTCACAGTTTTACGTTATTTACTGCAAACTTAACAATTTTGCCACCCTATCCCAATATTTTTTAGATAGGCGATTGGCAGACATCCACTCCTTATCCATAATACCCTTATTTAAGAAAGATGGTAAAGATAAAAAAACATTTAGTAAGTCATGAGTTTAATTATTTCAACTATGCTTATATTTGTTCTTTTCAAGGGCAAAATTAAAATTAAAAAAATTAGTAACATAATGATTTCAAATGAGTATTCTGCAGGTGTTATACCCTTTCTTTACACTATTTTAATCTAAAAAATTTTAAAAAATTCAAGAAATAAAATAGAAGTATAATTAAACTCACTTCAGACAATAAAACAACTTTAACAATAGTTATATTTGCAAGACTAAAATTTTAAAAAATTTTTAGCAACATAATGACATAAAACTAAGCATTTCCTAGGCTTACTACCCTCTTTTAACAAATTAAGCATTAAAATAATAACAAATTCATATTAAAAATCACTCAATCAATCACATTTAACAATTTCACAATTCAAATTTTAGAATTGGCAACAAACAGAGCATTTTCGTTCAAACAAAATTTAAGTACATTGTATATGAAATCATTCTCACTTTAAATAATCATAACCTATTTAATCTACGTTCAAATAAACAACTCAAATTTTATACAATTTCTTAAAAAAACTAACCTTTTTTTTTCATTTGCCAATGTAACCCACGAAGCAAGGAATCATGGCTGAAGGGACATGAACCACAAATCTAGCTACTAGAATGGAAGAGGAAGATGGAGTTAGGAAGAGAGAGGGGAAGAGGAAGAGGAATCGAGGACTTATGTGTTTGCACACCACACAGTAGAAGATGAAAATGGCAACGAAGGCAAGTGACAGCTTTCCAATGGCGGAATATGGAAGGGTTTGGTTGGAAATGTGTATTTGGTGCTTGGGGAAAGAGATTCGATAGTGGGTATTTAATTTTATAGAGAGAAAATGAAGTTTTGAGTGTTCGAAAAGTAACAGCTTCGCGAAGACGAATAGGCCATTTAAAAGCTATTATTCAACAATTCTATTAAAGAACTGTTGAATATATGTTTATTTGATGATTTTATAACAGAAACCGTTAAATATTCTAAATGTTTATACGAAGGGTTTATTTAAGGAATTGTTGAATAATTTGATGACATCAGCAGGCGGTTTTTGAAGCATTTACTCAACGGTTTTTTGCATTTAACTATTGAATATTCTAATGGTTTATTCAATGGATGTTTTTAGGGAACCGTTGAATAATACAATGATGTCATTAGGCACTTCTCTAAAGCATTTACTTAATGATTTTTATATTAATGATTTATATATATATATATATATATATTCAATGGTTATATTTTTAACCACTGAATAGTAGCTTTTCAAAGTCTTGCCTTTTGTTATTCAACATTTTTTTTTTATAATTGTTGAATATAAGACATTATATATTCCTTATTTTTTAGTAGTGCGAATAGAATTTTTTATATTATATATATAACGATAATTTAAACATGAGAAGATTAAAACATGATTTATAAAATAAAAAATGTCCGTGTTTTAAATAATAAAACAAATAATTTGTATGATTTAATCTAGTTTTGGTAAGATTAGGAAGGGCGCCCATCACTATTTCTTGGGAAAATTAAAGAAGGTCTGGGCTACACACAAGGAAATACAATTTGAAATCATTAGATTGATATGATGAGTTTCATATATATAGTTTATAATTAGTAGTGGAAGTGAATAGAATTTTTATATTTTGTATATAATGATAATTTAAACATGAGAAGATTAAAGTATGGTTTATAAAATAAGAAAGTATATGTGTTTTAAATAATAAAAAAGTAATTAATATGATTTAAAGTACTTTTGGTAAATTAATTGTTTATTGTATAAAGTAATTTTATAGCTTAATTGTATAATTTATAAAAATTTACTCTAATCCTAGTATGGTTAAATTGTATAATAGCAACAACTTTTTTTAACTCCCTTAAATATATATCATAAAACTAATTATAAGTAAAGTATATAATTTAGCGTTGAAATCCAAAATACTATGCTTTTCTTCATTGTCATGATTGCTCAACCACTCCTCCACAACTTGCTTCCAAGTCCCTAGTATGAGTACCTTGTGTAGCTATTTGAGCATGCTCAAGCGTAGCATATGTTCAAATTTTCTTTGAACTGATCCATAAAATAGTCAAAACTCTGGATCGTAAGTCCATAGCCATAATTTCCAAATTGCAACGTAAGTCCCCACGTTTGTCTTTACAAGTTGGTTCCGCGTATATATATCTCTGTCGTACTAGGAAGGAGCAGTCTCTTAGGATGTGCATTATAAAAGTTGCTTCAACTCACGTCCCTTTCAACACCCAGTATCTATATCCCACCAATCTATCTATTAAAACCTTGAGTAAGCCTAGAGAAATATTATGGGCCTCTTTAATTAATGGAAATGAATGGAATGGAATTATATGAAAAAAAAGGGGTTCTAAACTTGCTTTCGGTGTTCTGCTCCTTTTTAATTTTTGAAAATGGTGTTATATTATTCCTATTATTAACAAATATTATCTTTGACGGTTAGTTAACAAAAAAATCAGTTAACAAAAAGAACCTTAAAATTACAAAAAAGTACCAAGAAAAATTGTAGGGCAACATTTGTTTTCAAAAATTAAAAAGAAATATTATATTAACAATGAGTTTAAGATCTCAAACGTTCTTAGACTTGTAGTTTGAGGATGGAATTGCCACTAATTCTTTTAAAAAAAATAAAGACAAAACATATAATGATTAAGATGTAGAGAAGAAATAAATCAACCATATTCATAGAAAGAAAATGTAATTTTATTCATGAGATTTATGGAGGATGTAATAATTCTCATAATTCATGGTAGTGCTTCCAAGTTCCAAGTATAAGTGCCTTGTTTAGCTATTTGAGTGTGCTCAACCGTAGCTTAGGTGAAAATTTTCTTTGAACTGATAACATATTCAAAGCTGCGTCGTAAGGCTCTTAATTATTTGTCCATAGCCATAATTTCCAAATTGCAACGTAAGAACGTTTGAAAAAGGATAAAAAAGGGAGTTAAATGATAAATTTGTTCATAAGCTATAAGTTTCGTAGTGAAAGTAACTCAAAACTTGTTTTTGGTGCGATGCATGTTTTTCTCCAACTTTTAAAAATGATGTTATATTATTCTTATTGTTTACAAATATTAACTTTAATTGTTAACTAACCAATAAATTAAAAAAAGCCTTAAAATTATAGAAAATGACCAAGAAATTTTTTTAATCATTTTGTGTAATTTTTTAACATTTTCTATAATTTTTGAGGTCATTTTTTATAATTTTTTAATTAATTAACATTTAAAGTTAACTTTTGCTAATGGTAGGTGTGACATTATACCATTTTTAAAAATTAAAAAGAAACATTACACCAACAATAAGTTTAAGATCTCAAATATTCCTTAACTTAGAGTTTAAAGGTAAAATTGCAATGTGAAGAAGATATAAATCAACCATATTCGCAGGGACAAAGGTAATTCAATTCATGAAATTGAGAATAATAATTCATAAAGTATGTGATATTACATTTTATCATACTTATTATGAGTTGGAGAGTGATGGTGATGATTTAAGAAAATTTATAATGGTGCCTGCGTCTTTTGTGCGCACCCATGACTAACAAACATAAATAAGTTCACATTAAGGACTCGTTTCACCATTGTCCCATACATAAAAGTATATTCTAGCAGTTCTGTCAAGGATCAATATTTTCCCCCATTATGCTCAGATCAAGGGAAAAATAGTTCATGGAATGCGGTAATTATAACAGTATCCATATTTGATTTAAAGAAATGGTTCATTTATAGCTGAGCATGAGAGGGTTTTGCCTTTTGATGCTTATTATTGTTAATTATTAAAAATCTAATTCTGATTCTCACTTCTAGGGTTCCTAAAATTCTAAGTATCCATTTCATCCAATATATATATATATATATATATATAGAGAGAGAGAGAGAGAGAGAGAGAGAGAGAGGTTTTAATTTACTTGACTGTCAAATAAAAGCTCTCATATTTGATGGTTTTTTTATGCAAAACG